AAAAATGGATTACTTTTTAAAAATGATTAATAAATGTTTATGAATTATTTCGTTAAAGTTGTTGTTTCAAATGGACCGTTTATTTTGAAAGTTCCTTTTTTTAAAGAAATTCAAATACCGAATCTGAGCTTGTATTGTCTAAATACCCCACGCAACGCCACTTACAATTTCTTTCGATGACATTGGACTTACACCACTTTCAAAATAAACGGTTCAAATAAAAATCACAATTTTTTATTACTTTAAGTCAATTATAGGACATTCAGTTAATTTTGAAAATGGTCTAAGTCAATTCAAGCTTTAAAAGCAACATTTTCCTATGAAATTCACACAAAATTTCATATCTATAATAAATTTCCATTAATCAAGACTAATAAAATTATAAATTAAAATGTCGCATAGTGTAAAAATATTTTTTAATTTATTCAAATGCGATTCATTAAATATCTCGAAACAAGAAATATATGACTTAGACCACTTTCATAATTATGGGCACAATTGACTACGGTCACGGTAGAACAAGATATAGAAAATATAATGCATAGATTGTATAGTGATGGAGAGCGCGGCGAGAAAGGGACACGCAGGAAATCTTATAGCGTAATGATATATATATATATACAGTAATTTCTTCGTAATTTGCGCTCAGAATGCGCACAAAAATGGGCAATTTGGGAAGAGCTGATGCGATTATTCGAGCCTTGCGGATTCGTTTTTATAGTTACCGATTGTCAACAACTAGCAAAACTAGCCGCAAGGCTCGAATAATCGTATCGCGAATTAGAGAGAAATTACTGTATTGTAGAAGCCGAAGATTGACGAACACGTTACGATTTCGGAGCGGCTTCCGAAATCCGCAATACCGACTCGTGCTCGCGGCTCCTGTGCGTCATCTCACGCGACGTACGTGTGCGTGCATACGTGAGCGTCGCGACGTAAACATCGCGACGTTGCTAGGGCGATCACGGCCAAATTCGAAGGAAGACTCGTAACGGTTGACCAGCGCTCGCAGGGCACAGGGGCCAGCGAAACGAGAACGCGACGAACGTCAACACGCAATTTCCGAATACGATTACGGTTACGATTACGATTACGATTCCCGAACACGGCTACGATTACGATCACGATTATGGTTCACGATACGATATTATAATATAATTATATATATATAAATATATATATATATATATATTAAAATATTATTATAAAAATAATATATTATAATAATAAAAATATTATATTATAATATTTATATATAATATTTACGGCTTCGGCGTACGATGACGAGAATGATTGAATATTGCTTTACTGTCTTTTTGTATTATATTTTGTGTGCGTTACTGTTTAGTAATAAATTGAATAGTTACCAAAACATACTATCTTTACAGAATTATTGTCACTTTCACAAAGTAATATAAAATACCGGCTTTTAGTGCTCCGTAAGCCTAGTGTTTACTTATACATTTGTAATGCCATTATTTCGATGCGCCTCACAATTGCAAAATGCATTTTCCTGCAGTCATAAGCAATAGAGGCGTCTGACTGATTCCGCTCAAGTAGGCCAACCTGTACACCCGACTTGCTTGAACAATCATATCTCTTTTTCCCAAATTGTCCATTTTCGTGCGCAGTCGGAGCGCGAATTAGGGAAAAATTACTGTGTCCTAACGAAAAACAAGCCTAATCACCGTTGATCTCGAAAATAGGATTCGAGTTAGGATATTCGGCCTACAATCACAACACTTTGACGATATGGGAAGGCCAGTTCGGCGATTTCGCAAACACATGCCAGGTAAACTTGTTTTTCAAAAGATCTATTTCGATTTATTTTATCGTTTCGATATAATCGAATCTGGTCTTTATCATCCTTTAATTTGATCTCAGATATGGTGATATCGATACGAATAAATTTAATTTGCGGATTTGCATGTATTTAGGTTACCCTGGACACGCTTCTCTGTTCCGGCCAGACGAAGTGGGGTAGACAAGTGGGATTGGTTCTCCTCTTGCCCCATGGAATGGAAGGTCAAGGTCCGGAGCATTCGTCCGCGAGGCCTGAACGGTTTCTTCAACTCTGCGATGATGATTACATGTACATACCGGGTACGGAGCCAGGCGCTCCGCCAGGAGAGACGCCCGAGGAGATTATGACTAGACAGCTATTCGAGATCAATTGGATCGTTTGCAATTTAACTACGCCCGCGAACCTCTGCCACGTTTTGCGGCGCCAGATACTGATGCCGTTCCGAAAGCCGCTGGTTAGATACATTGTTATTATTCACTTATTGTGGGCGACTATAAAAGACGTTAAAAACAGCAAGAGACGTACTACGATAAAATGTTGTTTACACTTTGTTGCGGCGTACAATAGATTGAAATCGTCAAAACGCGGACGGAAATTAAATTTTTATCTTCGATCAAAGTCAATGAAATTTGGTTGCTTAACTTGTTTATAATTTTGCCAAGTGGTCTGAATTTGTTTAGGATGATAATGGGATTAGTCTATGACTAAAAAATTATTTTCAAAAATTGCAATTTGTTGAAATGGTAAAAGAATGAAAATATGTTTTTTCAACTCTTTTATCTGAGCCTAGAAAAAAATTTTTTTAATGCATTTTGTAGATCTCGGTAAGTTGTATGTGTGCTGAAAATTTCATAGAAATCGGTTGACCTTGACATGAAGAATTGTAAGCAATTAAAGACCGCGAAAATCGCAGTTTTTCACGAATTTCAACCAAAAGCAAATAATTTTTAAATCTTTCAGTGGCGACCGATTTTGATGTGATTTTCGATATGCATATAAGTTACCGAGATCTACAAAATGCATTTTTTAAATTTTCGTTATAGCCTCAGATAAAAAAGTTGAAAAACNAACACTTTGACGATATGGGAAGGCCAGTTCGGCGATTTCGCAAACACATGCCAGGTAAACTTGTTTTTCAAAAGATCTATTTCGATTTATTTTATCGTTTCGATATAATCGAATCTGGTCTTTATCATCCTTTAATTTGATCTCAGATATGGTGATATCGATACGAATAAATTTAATTTGCGGATTTGCATGTATTTAGGTTACCCTGGACACGCTTCTCTGTTCCGGCCAGACGAAGTGGGGTAGACAAGTGGGATTGGTTCTCCTCTTGCCCCATGGAATGGAAGGTCAAGGTCCGGAGCATTCGTCCGCGAGGCCTGAACGGTTTCTTCAACTCTGCGATGATGATTACATGTACATACCGGGTACGGAGCCAGGCGCTCCGCCAGGAGAGACGCCCGAGGAGATTATGACTAGACAGCTATTCGAGATCAATTGGATCGTTTGCAATTTAACTACGCCCGCGAACCTCTGCCACGTTTTGCGGCGCCAGATACTGATGCCGTTCCGAAAGCCGCTGGTTAGATACATTGTTATTATTCACTTATTGTGGGCGACTATAAAAGACGTTAAAAACAGCAAGAGACGTACTACGATAAAATGTTGTTTACACTTTGTTGCGGCGTACAATAGATTGAAATCGTCAAAACGCGGACGGAAATTAAATTTTTATCTTCGATCAAAGTCAATGAAATTTGGTTGCTTAACTTGTTTATAATTTTGCCAAGTGGTCTGAATTTGTTTAGGATGATAATGGGATTAGTCTATGACTAAAAAATTATTTTCAAAAATTGCAATTTGTTGAAATGGTAAAAGAATGAAAATATGTTTTTTCAACTCTTTTATCTGAGCCTAGAAAAAAATTTTTTTAATGCATTTTGTAGATCTCGGTAAGTTGTATGTGTGCTGAAAATTTCATAGAAATCGGTTGACCTTGACATGAAGAATTGTAAGCAATTAAAGACCGCGAAAATCGCAGTTTTTCACGAATTTCAACCAAAAGCAAATAATTTTTAGATCTTTCAGTGACTGCAACTTGACTATGCGTCGATCGATTTTGATGAAATTTTCAGCATGCATACAAGTTACCGAGATCTATAAAATGCATTTTTTAAATTTTTAGTTATAGCCTCTGATAAAAAAGTTGAAAAAAACATCATTTTTTCAATCTTTTATCACGCCAACAAATTGCAATTTTTATAAATAATTTTTTAACCCTCAACAAATTTAGGCCGCTTAGCTCAATTATAATAATGTTATTACGTTTTAAAAGGTGTACGAATACTTCTACACCCACCGTATTTATACTAAATTACATTATAAAAGAATTTTCGGTGGACTGTCTAGAATTTTTTTAGACAGTCTCAAGAACGAGGAGAAACACATGTATTTAAGAACTCGTGCTCTTTTTCTGAAATTATACAACTTCGCCCAATTATTATTATTATGTTCAGTCATATCTAGTTATACAATAGAAAGTAGAGAACATTCGATGGCTTCCGATAGTTTCCAAAATCTATCGATGACTATCGGTAGTATTATCGGACAATAGAACGCTCGTAGGAGGTCTAAAATGCGCAGAATTTGCAGAATACGACTGCAAAGTCGTGTCGAATTAATCGTGAACTGAGAAAGTAATTGAAACGTTTCAATCCGTTCTCAAGAATTTTGATTCTCTAATCGATTCGAACAGGTTATCATGACTCCGAAATCTCTTCTTCGTCATCCGATGGCCCTGTCGTCTTTCGAAGAAATTGAACCCGGTACCACGTTCCAGCCAGTCCTGCCGGACCCTTTCGTGAAGCCAGGCAAAATACAAAAGATATTGCTTTGCTGTGGAAAGGTGTTTTATGACCTGGTTGCAGATCGTCAGGGGAAACAACTGGAAGACAAAATAGCGATCATTCGTATCGAACAACTCTGTCCGTTTCCGTATCACCGTCTCAAGGAAGAAGTTTCCAAGTATCCTAAAGCGAAGGTAAAAGATCCCTGTTGTACGCAGCTATCATAGTTTGATTGGTGCAACTTGAGAATGGGTATGGAATTGTACACTTAGATCGTATGGTTGCAAGAGGAGCATAAAAATCAAGGCTACTATGATTACGTGAGAAACAGAATAGCCTTAGCTCTGGGTCTTCGTATGGACGACGTGCCTTACGCAGGTCGGTCACCATCCTCCTCCCCAGCGACAGGAAGCAAGATCATTTACTCGACCGAATACAAAGATATGCTGACTGCCGCAATGCGACTCGATTGATTGTGTATCACAAGTAATTTATTGCTTAAGCTTTAAAGAATCTCGTATCGCCACGGCGAACGGAAGTGTTGAAATGCGAATAAATGTGTTCAAATCTGACTCACCGAGAGATATAAGTATTTAGGATAATCGGCATGAAAATACGCACAAATCCCTTTGCTTAAGGAATTCCACATTGCATTGTTCCGTTCGATTTTTGATTTGTCGCCGCTACTATAACGAGAGAACAGCTGCACGATGTGCAAAATAGAACTGAACTTGAGCTCTTCCTAGGTGAAGGTGGTGCTAATCGACAGCGTTGTCTACATGCACGTGCACAAGGATACATCGGGACTATTGCGATCGTATAACGTACTCTTGACTGTATGCGAGTAGTGCATGTTAGTAGTGCATAGTAAGTTAATTGTTCAAAAGTTATCTCTTTGATATTTTGTCAAGGTACGGGCAATCGTAATGCTTCTTGTATAACCGTAAGTAAACATCGTAATATAACTTGCGCTAATGTCGTTTCTATGGGAATCTATTTGGCTTGTAATCCTAACGTCTCGTGTGAAATAAATTATCAGTAATTAGTTAAAACAACTCGGTATCGTGTGGAAAATTTTACTTAAAAATATTAAATTTTACTTGGAAAATTACTCTTAGTATGTAATGCAATTTTGGTAATCTCAATGGCAGTCTGAAAACTAATGTTGTGTACAACAATCCTTACAAAATGCAGAAACACTGTTTCACGATTTTAAATGGAATCACATTTTATTTCTTGTGGAATTTTGTAGACGACGTTGAAACAAAAGCAACCCTACATACACTAAAAATTCTTTTTTACTGAATAAGGTAAATTCAATTTCTCTTTATGGCATAATCTAAATTGAATTTTTCCTTACCGAATAAGGTAAGTAAAATCTCTTTCAAGTACATTTTTTCAAGTCGTCTTTAGAAAAATGTTCTGACGAAATAAATTAAAATTTTTGCAATTGACTTGGTTTTATAGAAAAAAAATGAAATAGATAATGCAAACAAGTGAAACAATTACAGTTAATATTTAATACTTTGTGGCACCGAAAACGATGCTAAAAGTTTTATTGATTAACAATCGAAAATAAAGACAGTTGATTTTTGAATTTTAAAAGCTGCGCTCGCACGAGTCCTTTAATGTTGACCGAACGCTTCGAACATCAGCCTATCTTTCTCTACGTTCGGAACATTGCATACAAAAAATGTACAGTATTGACCGAGTCCTAGTTACTGAGCAAGCGATTCTACTCGATTCTACGTGAGCCAATCAAAGCTAATGATGGAGCTGCAGCGCGATACTGTGTAGGATCCACTGTTGTAGTACCTCTACTATAATTGAATAGAAAATTATTGGAATACCCTTGATGGGGAGCAGTATATAAAAGTGAAAGATTTAATAAAAAAAATCATTGAGAAATTGTACAAATTATTGCCAAGCAAACTGATTGCGGCAATTAAGTATTAAGTATTAAGTATTAACCATAATTGTTTCACTTGTATCCATCACCTGTTTCTTAACGAATGGACGATCATTTTGACCGTTTGCTTATTTACAATATTTATGTTTCTCTTCTATAAAACTAAGTCAATCGACAAAAAATTTTAATTCAGTTCATCACAATATTTTTCTAAAGACCACTTGAGAAGATGTACTTAAAAGAAATTTACATTACATTATTCAATGAAAAGAGTGGTCTACATTTTACTCCGTAGAAACATGTGTAGAACAATGGTACATTTATTTCAGAACTCGTCGAGGAAAGTGATAATAAGGTATCGCATTGGCGACCTCTATGAATGCGTACATCAAGTATAAACGTTATTCAAGAATATCTTCTCTCTGAGTTTGAACAGTAATTACATTTTGTTGATTCTATGACAAGTCAGTTCACCATCTACATTTAATGATGAAGCACTCTTAGTTATTGAACAACTGTGTCCAAGTGATTATGTTTGTCTTAATGTTGTTTGTATTACCGTACAAAAGAAATTTGACATGATGTTATTTAAGAAAGTGAAAATCACCTCGAGATTTTATTGAAAAATAGTATTTTTTCCATATTTATTTACACAAATATCTTTTCGTTATAATCTATTTGAAGTCTTGAAAGAAATTATAACAATCGTTACGCTGTTACTACAGACAGTGATAGTAAAAATCCACCATAATAGCGATTGTTGTAATAATTGAAAACAATGGTAGTATGTAATCGTTATCGGTTGTATAGAGCTAATAACAATACAAATTGGAAATTTGTTAATATTGAGAATGCGTAAACAGAACAGTAAAGAAATCATCGTCTAATGTAATTTTTTCGATAAAAACATCGATTCAAATCTCTGGTATTCAAAAACAAATTACGGATAAACAAACACTAACGCGGTGCAATACATTGATAATCAAAAAGCAATAGATTACACATTCAACTTTGCTTACCATTTCAATCCAGTATCAAACGCGATACGAAAAACGTTTTTTTTCCTAGGTCAACTGTTTGTATTAACCGCACAAATTCGATAATTTTGCAGGTATTGCTTTTCAACTCTCTTATCTTGCTTCCTCGCGGTAACAGAAACACGCTTGACAGCAATACACTCGTATATTCCGCTGTTGGTCTTATCGAACTCACTTTTTATAACAGAACACACAATTACTCCTACGCTCGACGGGATTAAAATGTTCCAGAGAAGTTCGTGCAAAATTATTCTGCATTGAATACAAATCAAACGATCTGCCAAGTGGCTAATATTATATAGCAGCAAGTGGAATCGGTAACTGAGATACTCTCTATCGTTGTAATGGATAAAAATTTCTTTATCCGTATATCGGCAATCAAAAAGATAAGCGATTTCCGGGCTTATCGGACACATTTCACGCTACGTATTTTTCGCCAAAATTATCTGTGATTATACGTGGAATATTCAGAATGCAAAAAGCTCTCGTTAAGTAAGTTCACCCCGTTAAACGTGCATAAAATAAACAATTTTTTTTTTCATAACTTATCCTTCTGGAATGCATGAAGAAATTCTTTCCATACAGAATTGACTTATTCGTATTTGTTACAATTACCGGGTACGGTACAAAAATGAAGGGAAGATTTATCGAAATTTCTGAGAACGCTCGACGGTGTGTCGAATCGTGTAGACCTCTTTTCAAATCGTATTACCCGCGCAGCAGTCGCGCTTGCACCGTACGCCGGTAGATGGCGAGCGTCGTTCTCGATGCTGAGTCCGCGTCTACGATTAGTCATTCAGTTAGCTGCTTACTGATCAGTATGGTGGGTGCTCGGCGCGTGTGACGTTCCGTCTCGTTGCATAATCGTTTGAGAGAGCGAGCGAGACAGAATAAAAGGAGAAACCGTGGTCGGGAGAATTTCGGTCGTGTCTCGTGGTGCCGTCGAGCCGAGCACGCTGCCTGTCGCGGATCAAGAGATATGCCGAAGAGTGGAGTCGAGAATTGTTAACGTGACAAAGGATGCGTCTGGTCTTTCTGTTGGAGGATCGGTAACGAATAACCAACAACAGCGGCACCAGACACAGACAGAGAAAATGTCGCCAGTAAAGACGAACAGCAACTCACCGGGGCCCACGAAAACTCCGATGCTCAGCCACGTGAAATACGAGCATTTCGTTGCCGGCATATCAGGCGGCGTGATCTCAACACTGATGCTGCATCCCTTGGACTTGATCAAGACCAGATTCGCAGGTATGTCGATTAATGTCCTCGCTGACGACATAACGGTTCGATGCAAATGGCGGGTAGCTAGATATAGTAAAACTCCTCTTGGCAAACTCGTGCACAGCCCTTTGTACTCACGCGTTGCCCACGCACCATCTAATCTCAAATAGTAAGTAATGAATGATCTGTTCCATCTTGTATATCTATATGTGTGTATACCTTTGAAGACGGTGTACTAACGCTACTATTTCTAGACAGCAACTATTTTTAAATCTTATGTTAATTTGTACAGTCATTTGTAGACAGCAGTCATTTTGAAGCATTCTGAAAATAAGGATGCTTTATTTTTTCAAATATTATTCTTTGCTTTTACTTACTTTTAATTTGTTCAAAATGTTTGAGTTATATGTGTATGCATGCATATGCACTGACTGTACACTCCGTTCGTTTATGAGCGTAAATGCGGTTTCACACCAGTTGGAAGACTTTACTTTTGATAATAACGTTAATTCTATTTATAATAAAAGTATTTTATTCGCCGATTTTCCGTACATCTAAAATCTCGTTTCATTGCAACTGCTCTTCATCTAATGTTACGAACAGAATTACAGAAATATATAGTTATTCATTTCGTCGAGATCTGTCTCTACAATACGGAAAGTTTATATTTTAACGTAAAATAGTGTAGATGTCAAACAGAAAAACTTTTTAGAGTTTAGGGATAAGGGATAAGAAACCACCTTTGGTGTAATTGTTCAATAACTAAGGTGTGATCGTGTGAAGTAAGACTCCCTTTTTGTTGTTTTTAAAAGGTCATTTCTTACACAAACATAGTGTTTCAACAAAAAATCATTACACTAGTTTTACCGACAGTACGATTTGTGCGTGTAGTACACACTAAACTCGTCCCTTTACCTATGTCGCTTCATCTGGACATCTACAAAAAGTGGTTTATTGATATTCCGCAAATTTTCCTTTCTTCTAGCTAGCAAACTAGACACTTTGACGTCAGACAAACATTTCATGTCCAGTAAAACAGTTGAACTAATTTTCTTGTTATCATAGAAACAGGTATTTAGCGGGGAATATCTTAGACGACAAAGTATATTGAAGGACATTGAAGAACAATGTTGTAGTCAGAAAATTGTTATAGTCAACGAATGCGTAGTCCGCGTGTGGAAGACGTTTCAGTTTGTTGATCCTATGGAATTGTGCGATAAGTTTGAACCAAGAGCGCACGTGGTGTTATCGAGAATGATCGAGAAGTATTTTGTGCCGGTGGACTAACGTCGGTCAATTCACTCTTCATTAGCAGCGATTAAAGATATAGAAATACTGATTGGCCGGTAACAATAAATACTACACGTCTTAGCCTACAATTAATGCTATCGTTAAGTAATTTATCAAAATTATCAAAGGAATTACTCGTTCTCATAATTAGACTGTCGATCTTTATGAAAAATACAGATTTACCATGACGATTGTATGGAACAGAAATTAAATAAAAATAAATTGTTTCTTTCAATAGTTTCGATAAGTTGAAAGTAATATAACAATATTATTAAATTCTTATGTCTTCACATTTTTATATTATTCTTATTATTCTACTTTTATATTTTTAATTGTTTCCATTTTTACCTTAAATACATAAAATCCGCAGTTTGTTCATAATACAAGAATTCCGGAAATTTTAATTACCACAATTATACCGTTTCTTACAAGTTCTTATATAACCAATTGTCACGATCGATTCTAATCGCAGAATTTTAAGTACTTCTTATCAACGGAAACATAATGGTACGAAACGAAATACGAAAATAGATACAGCACTTTACATAAAGAACACAATACTTGATATCTACTAAACATTGATGAAATACTAATAAAATCAGAATCGATCTTTTTTTATTCAAATAGTCTGGTTTTCTCTAATAAAAATAATAAAATGATAAAATAATGCCTCACATAGTTCGAGTAATTGGACTCGTATAAAAAGAAAATTATAAAATTTTAAATGTTGTTAAACGTTGTCACGTAAATTTCAATGACAATGAAATGGATGAAATATATATAAATGTACATGAATATGTATTAAACTGTAATTTAAATATTTTAAAGATCGGAATTCACGAATGTTATATTTAAAAGGAAAAAATAAATAAGTAGAAAATTCTGTACATGTTTGCCAACCGTATCAAACTTATATTGATAGAATTCGAACGAGGTTAATATTAAATGACTGCCAAATCATATTTTTGTATTATTAAATATCATAAACACTATTTTCATCGTTTAAATACACACGCTGGATGTATTGATTGCCACCAAATTATATCAATTCTTAATTGAAATAATGTACATACAGATGTATACAAAACCCGCAATTCTTAACTAAATAGTCCAAATTCGTGAACTATTGATATAGTTCTGTGATAGAAATGATAGTAGGACTTCCGGAGACCCAGAAATCGAAGACAGAAAAGAACATTATGCGATAGATGAATTTTTTTTATTTCCTTCGAGATAATCGTCGAACCATTGGTCGAAATTCAAATGATCACTCTTGATAACACGCGATTTCGGATGAAATGGAAAGTGCCAGGCGACTTTCGATCACGTTTCAAAGGGGAAAGAAGAAATTCCAGTTTGTCCAACGAAAACAATTCAAGATTAATACTTGCGTTGTGCTTATACGATATTAACATCGATACCGATGTCCATTTCGTGTTGCAAATATGTGATTGGACATTCGTCAAGGAAAATGTATGCATTTACATTCTTCCTGACATCAGTTGTGATGATCACGTAAGTTTTGGTCGTTATGTCATCATTTGGTTTCTAGATAAACATGAATGTTTCGTGTAATATGTTATATTAATCGTTGCAGTGTACGACATCGCAACAAAATGTTATGAAATAAAATTCCTCTTTTCTTTCTGTTTCATTTTACTACGTATAAATTGTAATTTCGACGCTTGAACGGCGGGCCTATTTGTTAAAATTTTATTTAACAATTTTTTTCGATATGTTTTTTAAGGACTTCTTCTAGACACGTCTGTTTTTCTATAGACTATAGACCTTAATGAAATATGCGAAAATTTAAATTAATTGTCAGAAATTGGATAATCATACAGAAATTATTTATACTTGACTTAGAATGTTTGAAAAATGTTCAGTAATTTTTGGAACCCAAAATAACAAATAGTTTGAACACGAGTGCCGTTTGAAGTTGTTCAAGTGTATCATACTCCTCGCGTATTTTATGGAATATTTATGCGATAAAACCACTACAAAACAGCAAGTATTTACGTAGACGGTATATTTGTTTTCATTTATTAGCATTTGTTGTCACATGCTGCTAATATTTTGCGAGTCTGTATTTTGCTCTGTCGTAAGCAGTGAATACGAAAAAATAATACGTTTAACGCTATTTTAAACTGTCCACCACCGGTTCATGGTCCAATAAGTTTGCTAACAACTTATCGCAAAATTGTTTAGGCGTGATAAATAAAAAGGATCGGATACACAACGATGCTGCAAAACAATACTACATACGAGCTGGTTTATCTATGGCGACTTTTAATTATCTTGTTATCACTCGATGTCGCAAAGAGGGCTCGACTCGTTCACGCCTAACGTATTTTCGTCGTAAAATTCGTTGGCCGTACACCAAACCGCAAGAAATTCCGCGGATTGCGTCAGAAGCACGTGAGAGATCAAACGGCGGAATTTCGATCGTGTCCCCACGTCGTTAAATATGTACGCTCGTAGTTTTGTCGAGAAATGTGTATTAAAATCTTCGCTTCTATAGAGTGGTTCAGAAAAGCACGTTGATAAACTTTTTTCTCTCACGATCAGGCACACGGAATAATAATTTAATGAAATTCTTTGAACTTTAAACAATGATTAAAACATTATGTACTTAGTTCCAATTATGGAAAATTGTTAAATAATATATTTACACTTTATTAATAATCCTTGTTAAAAACCACTTCATAGATTTCACGCAGAGATAATAATTTGAAAAGAAGTAATTCGAGTATAAAAGTAATGATAATTACTTATTATATTACAATAATAATAATTAATAATATAATTAAATTATATCGACTTTTTATTTTAATTACATATTAATATAATTAAGATAATAGTGACTGATTATTACAAGTAAAATGTAAACATAAATATTTGTAATTCGAAAATAAAAATAGTTTTCGTAAACTTTAAATTAATTTATGATTCTTTGAAAATACATCATTATAAACGGATCTTCATGATAACTAAGAAACTTTAATAGAATCTTATACCGTGATGTTATTTCTTTCTTGTTTAATAAGAAATTGTACACTCGAGAGAAATGAGAAGATCTTTTCCTTGATTCTATTCGGTGTCGCAATTTTCTAAGAGTATTCATATTCGAGTGTTTATCAACGCTGTAATGGATTTTGCAATTATACGATCCACGTGTACAAGTATTTGTACGTATATGCAGCGCAGAGATTAATTTATCGCTTTTACCAAACATCTCGTGACTTCCAAGAATTGTTTCGCACACATATCAGTTCCTTTGTTGTTTTGGGTGAATCTAAATAAGAAACTGAAATGAGACAAAGTAACAATTGAAGTTATCTCTCGCGATCCACGTGTCTACTTTAATGCCATTTGTATGATACACATCTATTAGAATCAAAAACTGTATTCAAGATGATTTCATTGGTCTGGTATAACTTTTCCCGAATAGACCGACTGTTTATGTACTGATCTTTATCTTCACTGATTATTATTTTTTGAAACTGTATAGATGACGAAATACTTAATTACTATTAAAAATGATAAATATTATATAATTTGGATGAAACAATGTTTTATATAGGAATCGGAAAATTAGCAAATTTTATAGAATTATAATCAATAATTCTAAATGTATGTAAAAACCAGACACTTTAGAAAGTATATTTATTCTTTAATTATATATATATTCATGTACAACAAAGCACATTGTGAAAAATTTATCTTAAAATAAGTACGCTATTTTCAGTATCTTTTAAATAAAGTATTATTTTTAATATTAAATATTGTGTTAACATGTTGCTACAATGAACTAGATATTTTATGTGATAAGTTTTTCAATATTTTATTTCTATTTTACCCTCTAATTTAATTTTATTACTTTATCACTTTATTCAGCACTGCTTGTTATTTCAACATTGCAAGTGATCAAAGAACTACCTACCAGAGAAGTACTCTCTATGCATCTCATGACGTGTGTATGCACTTATACAATTCTAGGTACATACGGTAACGATGGTAACTAGTGGTAACGATGACTCATGATATTCTTACTCCTGCTATTATTACTGTTGGAAATGTTCTGGTCTGCGATGAAAACTTTCTCCATTTTCTGATTTTTGTTGAATCGTCTGTGAGAATGGAAATTTGCATGCATATTCTTAGCTCAGAAATACGAACGACCTTGACATTGTTTCATTTACATGGTTCTTGAGATACTGTCCTTGCATAATAACGTCACGCGTTCTTATTCCGCTCACTATCGCTTTCTACAGGAGGAAATGAAAATTTTCGATTGGAACATACAATTCATTAAACTAAACTGAACTTTTCATACGCATCCCCGGTATGATGGAAATAATGGCTGTAGATAAACCATGACCGCGAGACAGGGAAAGAAAATAATTAGATTCCGCTTATCGCTTGCGGTTTCTTCGTAATACAATCTGAATATTTGTAAAGTTTAACGATTCATTGGCTTCGCTGTCCCATTTTATCGTAATTCATCGATGTTATCTATTCGCAAGATGTTGAGAAACTTCAGTGACATAGAATTAAATATTGTGGAATTGAATTTAAAAGATTTGGATAGTACAGTAATCAAACACCGTGTGTTGAGACTTAGATGAAAAAATAAGATGAATCTCGTTCTTAAGGAAATCAATTTTAAATATTTATTGAGCACATGTGTGCTAGGCCAACTCTTGACTAAATGCAGATTGTGTAATTTATAAAGGGATATTCTAGATACTGTAACAATGAATATCTATATGTGAATTTGTATTCTTTTGATTTTGTAAAATTGTTTATAAAAATGAGAAAGAGTAAACATAAATTAGTCATGGTTATGCATATCAGAAAGAAGCTTGCGAATCTTTTTTTAAACAATAGTTGAAAAAGGAATTATTTAGTGTTTATTATTATAGAATTATTAAGGATTATTTTAGAGTTTATATTAAGAAATCCTTAACCATGAATGGTAAATTTTTAAAATAATTATGAAATAATTTTTCAATTAATTCTCGTTCGTACATATTTGTATACGTTTGGTTGAATCAAATTTGATGTAATTCTCACAATGTGAGAATCTCTTTAAAAAAAATTCTTCGCGTCTAATATTTTAGACACGGTTTTTAGGTTTCATTAAACCTATCAAAAAGTTTTACAGCTCTATTAATTCTTGATTTTCATATTATTGACGTTTATTGATTTGTATACATATAACGCAGACTTACGATAAGCGTGGACTCTGTTTTCTGGTAGTAAATTATTAACGATAACATGACCCTAATTGAGCACAGCTACGAAGGAAATCGTATGGCGAGGCATTCATAATCGTACGTCAAATAACGATGACTAACATTTATTCTTTATTTGTAGTGAACGATGGTCATTCGAGCTCTGCTCCGCAATACAAAGGGCTGAAGAGTGCTGTTTCGCAAATTGTTAAGACTGAAGGTGTGCGAGGACTTTACAAAGGTGTTGCGCCGAACGTGCTAGGATCCGGCGGTTCATGGGGTTTCTACTTCTTTTTGTAAGTGTCTTTGATTCATCTTGATACAATTGCAACTATCGCGTGCAGTAAAACTACGTTCATTTGGACGAACTTTTAGTTAACAGCTAATAAGAACTAAACGATACAAGCAGTGAATAATAATCGAACGATCTTATACACAAAACGTTCAAGTAGATCCAGTCAATTTTCTTTGTAATCATTGAAACCCACATTCATCATAGTGCAAAACAAATGTATTTCAATAAATGACTTCTCATACTTTTTCATATTATTTCAAATATATATTTATTGATACAATTCATTCACATCATTCTATCTTTTGATTTGAAATAAAAGCGGTATTTATTTTAATAAAGGCTGATAAGTGGTAAAGGAAATTGTAAACATATGCTAAATTGATTTGAAACAAGCGTAAAAGAAAAATCAAGTTTGTTTATTAAAAAAATCTGTGCATAATTGAAACCACACTGTTTGAAGGAGCACTGTGTACGTACATATAAATGTGAATAGTTATAACTATTATGTTCGTTTATTCACAGCTAAATAGAATTTAAGATTTACTATATGTATCCCTAACACAGCATTCGATGCTTTGTAATTATATGATTATCCTCTTTGTTTAGCTATAACACCATCAAAGGATGGATTCAGGGTGGAAACAGTAAGATGCCTTTGGGACCCTCGTGGCACATGTTTGCTGCAGCTGACGCTGGAATTCTCACTTTGCTAATGACCAATCCACTTTGGGTAGTAAAGACGCGTTTGTGTTTGCAATACAAGAATGATCAAAATCTGCCAGAAAGGCTCCGATACAAAGGCACAGTAGATGCTATTAAGAAGATATATAATACCGAAGGGATCCATGGTTTGTACAGGGTAAGTTGATTAACTAGTTTAATCTTTCGGAGCAAAATCAATGTACTTTTTTTCTGTTATGAGTTTGGCTCCGTATGTAGCTTGTCAAGTTTGACATGAAATAATAAAAAAATTTTGATTATATTCAAATAGTAGTACTTTAATATTATGATTTATTATAATGGTGATGAAGTAGTTTTTGAGAAAACTCCATTTGAAGTGTCAGGGTTTCCAGTTTTTTATATTTGCCAATAGAACTTCAGCATTATATTTTTCTTAAATATAAAACTGTCAGGCAAGAGAAAATTAATGTTTCATTTTTATGGGGATTTGTAGGGTTTCGTTCCTGGAATGTTCGGTGTTTCACACGGAGCTATCCAATTTATGGTGTACGAAGAGCTGAAGAACTGGTACAACGGTTATTTAAAGCTTCCAATTGATACTAAGTTGGTAAGTTGCATATTATATGTGTAGTATAAGGTATTATACTATAATACCTAACAAGGTAACAGATGTATTTTTATTATCGGGAAAGAAATGATTGTACTACTGTGATTTCCCTTGCAGAGCACGTGGGACTATATCTTCTTTGCGGCGATATCGAAACTTATAGCTGCGGCTTCGACTTATCCTTATCAAGTCGTGCGGGCACGTCTTCAAGATCATCATCATAACTACAGTGGCAGCGTTGAATGCGTGCGATTGATATGGAGGTCAGAAGGCTTAAAGGGTTTTTATAAAGGCTTAACGCCATACCTTTTACATGTTACACCAAATATTTGTTTAATTATCGTAATTTATGAAACATTTTCTAATGTGCCTACAAACTCTCATTGACTCCTTTAGATTATATTAATCTATTTTTTTTTAACTGATACGAGATGGAGGATAAATAATTATTAGTATCGGTTCCAATAATCTGTACTTCACCTAGATTGAGTTATGCATTGATACTGGAATTCTCCCAACCCAGAACAGTCAGCTAACTCGTGAAAATAATCAGCAACAAATCGTTCTGATTTTAATATAACTTATATTTCGAATTTCTTGATGTCCTTTGTTAGTCGAAGGTACACTTTGATGCAGTATTATTAGAAAAAGTTGTTACTCTTGCATACATACAGACGTGCCCACACTCACACATATTTACACATACAAAGCTCATCTCTGTACAAATATAAAAAAAAATACTTGTGTTGTTGCACGGAAGTGTACACTTCAGCTGTACTGTTCCTTGTTTGAGATTGGCTTAATTCAATTGATATGCTACGATGTAGTGCTCGATGACTCGAAAGTGTCACCGCCGTTTGATTTGGTCAACATATTTGGGGATTTATTTGAAAATGTGATTTATGGAACATGTGTAAAGTATATTATTGAAAAGATTTTTCATTGTACTCAGTAATCATACATCATGGAAGCTGTCTAAGTGCAAGTGTATGGGGACTCTAGAAATAGATAAATAATTTTAATATTCTTAAGTTTTTTTCGAATCGATCACAGGCACTGGCAATATTTTATTCTTTTTTAGGAAAAATGAAAGACAGTCTTTATTGTATATATATATTGTTGTATATATACAATATTATTTTACATAATGGTTGTCTTATATTGGACGACTGTTTTATATCAACGATCGAACGATTTACTTTGTAATTATAAAAATATATGTGTGTATATATAGGTACTGAAGGTGTGCTATTTCAAACTCTTTCGCATTGTACGTGATGTGACTTTTTTGAAATGGTGCAATAATTTATATGGATCATTCGAACGTATTGTTTTATTTATTCGACGACGTATATGTGCAAAATACCTTGATTTGCTCTTGTAATGTGCGAAAAGGGAATTTGCGTATTGTAAGGACGAAGAACTTAATTTTTTTTTTTCATACTATGATAATAATCTTCTGAATTCGGCACTTATCTATGCAATGTATATCGCGATTATTTCACTTTGTGGATAACACTATAACCAATAGTGATTACCATAAATGATTTACTGTTCCTTCTACGTCACGACAATTTCTTTCGAAATTCGATTGTGAACACGACTAGCAAAAGGTGCAATTTAATACTTTGTAATAGTCAAATTTACAGTATCAGACGGTTACATAATTGCATAAACGACGAATTAAACAAGACTTTGCAGCAATTAGATAGGCACGTAAGCAGGGATTAAATGAGAGTTTCGGCATTCTCACGTGATCGATTCTCACGATGGTCGAGCCTGAATCTCGTATTGGAAATGAAATTCGACAGAAATTTTTGCGTAGGATTATAACTGATTATCTACAATTGCATTGTTAACCATGCTGTCATTATGTTTTTTGTATACAATGACCACTATACCTCATTTCGAAACACCTATGTTAGATTAATGTTTCAAGGTTCATTGTAGAGTCTGGTACTCGGACCAACCGAAGTGTAGCAATAAAATTTAATGTCATTGTAACTCGGATTTAAGTAGGCTCAATTTATTTATATGAAAGAGTTTCCGCTGAGAAACCGTTTGACAAACACCTCAATAAATGCAGCAACGCTCTAACGATTGTTTCAAGATTCGATTTAGTGGCTGCGACATGGGAGTATTTATAACAAAAAGGTGGACAAAGTTATTTTATTAGCTTGATCGACGCAAATGGTGTTAGAAATGGATCGAAGTGATTGTTTAGTAATATTATATACATACAACAAAATACATTGACGTTACTTGGAGACTGAAATCTTGATATGTTCCTACTTTGACCTTATATCTTCTTTGAGTTCCATTGTTTATCGCTCCGAAAACAGCAGTGCTTCGCTAGAAGATGCTTCGCTTATCTTCAGAAGTAAGCCTTGAAGTAGCTACACTAGCAACAGCCTCTTCAGTATATCGAAGTCGTAACGTATGCTAGTTCTCTGTTTTCTTTTTTTTTAGTAAAGTCTTTTTTTTCTGACATACGTTTAAAATTATTTATGATTTAGAAATGAAAAACATACGTTATTAACATTACGTATAATTGCGATATTGAAATGGTTTACATTTTTGTATGTGTTCGTATTTATTAATACACGTGTCGAAGAGGTTCTTTCTGTTCTTAAAAAAAAAAAATACATTTCCGTGAATTTCCAAATTGCGTCCACGTTCTTCGTGCAAATACTCTTATGTGCGCTTACTGAACCACTTTAACTCTTCATTCGGTGTTCCTGAGGAGTTTGCGTTTCACAGTAGCAAAAGGAGCAATACCCTCAGGGGGATAGATCGAGGAGACATGTTTGTACGGCCGAGCACTGGATGCATGCATTAGACTCTATCAAGTGTTCGTATATTTTTCTTTGAGCTCTGATAGCAACTCTCGATATAGCCTCGCGTCACTTACATTCTCTTCCTTGAACGTTTCTACGAGCAAATTCATTGCTGTGGCGGGTCCACAGTTGTAGCGTGACGAAATATATGAGTAGTGACGACGTCTTCGCTGTGCGTGAGTGTATGATTGCGTGAACTATTGGTGGAACAACCGTTGCGACTTTCGACAAGGCGGCTCACAATTTTGAGGTGGCTGATCCTAATCAAGCGATAGCTGAAAATCGACTTCGCCTTTAGCAGAGCGGCCATCGGCATGTAATTGACTTAAGTTCGATCCGACTTGAAATTCTGCGTCCAACGAAGAGAGTCGCGACACTTGTTCCGCCAAAGGCGAACATAAGCGGACGTGACGAGGTGACTCACTTGTGGAACCACCAGCAGTACGATTTTTGGACGTATCACGTGTACGATTACATATTGTACCTAAGCAATATCGCATTAATACAAACCACTTGAATGGGAAATAAACGATGTGGAATTGACAAAAGTATCTCTTGAATTTTAAGACAATCCTTCATGCTCAGCTCATCGGCCGATCTCGTAAACGACCATCCATCCAGACGACAAGAATCGTACGCCGGTCAGGCTTGGTGCGAATGAAACACTGCATTGTACGATCGACAATAACACTAGACGCCAGAAAAAGATGAGACGAATAACAAAAGCGTATTACTGGTGGTTAATTTCAGATATGAAGGGTGGCGCGGCTATTACAAAGGACTGAGTGCGAACCTGACCAGGGTGACCCCAGCGACCGTGATCACGTTTGTTACTTATGAGCATATGTCTCACTATCTACTGCGACAGAGACAGAAACACGAGATCCAAGAAGACAAGAGTCATCAGCCGTTTCTGATCAAACAAAATTGAGAACACGAGGCGACGGCGGGGAACTCGGCCAAGGAGGTCTGGCGTCGTTCTCGAAACGAATCCATCCCCGAATTCAATAAATAAATAAATAAATATGGAAGTTAGATTTCCATTTCAATGAAGCATATCAATGAAGCATTTACGTGATTAGTCAAACGAGCACGTACCCTTCCGCCGCACGAAAACTAGGACCGAATCGCCTACAATGCTAAGCTCGAGGCGTTTCAATTCACAGCGAACAACTCGCACCTCATTCAGTTGCTGCTGTTTTAAAGATTTTATCGCTATCACGAACGCACTCTGCTCAACTGTTGTAATCACCGATCTTTGCGACAACGCACACCACGTTCCTAATGTATTACCAGTTATCGTCGCTGTTAAATGCGAATACCGTAGTCGAACGACGATCTGGAATTTTACTTATCCGTGTCGGTTGTACTGAGATTACTCACCGAATCATTTTCTAACGAATCGCCGAACATCGTAACAGCGAAGGTTACGTGAGAATTGTTAAAAAGAGAGCTATAAAGAGAAAGTTATACTTTCGGGACAACAATACTTAGAGACAGTTACGAAAATCAAAAATAATTTTGTTTACTATGTATCTATATAATTTATCGCCACGTTAAGAATATTTTAGTTATTGGTCGTATAAGTGTTTCTTTTGGTTTACGTGTTAATTTTGATGTATGTGTATCAGTTTTCAAAATTGTTTGCAACGTACTCCGTCTTGACGAGTTTTCAGGTCGACACCAATGTTCCGTACGAACGACACTTGCATCATAGTTTAGGGGCTGGAACCTTAGTTCCAATACTAATTGCAGATCTCGTGACTTATCCTTACGAGGGTCACAAATGTTCAGTACGAATGTACCTGTTAGTATCGATGTAACAGTTGCGGCATACTCTCGTCTAAAACATGCATTTATGGTTAAAGAAATACATGTATGAATCCTATTCAGCATTGTTTAGTATTCAGTGGTAGAATCACCAATGCATGTTTATGTCTACATTGCCAGTACAAATGATAGATCGAGGAAACTTATTTACTAGTAAATGAATATATTCGTGTGTACCTTTCTAAATTTTTTAAGAGATTACACATTTCTTTTGCTGGGGGTAATCCATATTACATCTTGAACTATCAATCTTTGAGGCCGTACCGACTAATCAATGTCAACGGACTTTGAGGGCACATCGCATGATAGTTAGCACAGTCTTCCGCGTACTCAGCTTCGACGATCTCGCTTGGAAGATCTTCATCTTGCGAAGAGGATGGCCTACCGCGAGAATTGCACGATAATCTCATGATATTTACTATTCGACTGTTATTAATGTCGTGTATGTGTACTAACGTAAATAAAATCTGGAGAATATCGCCAAGCACGCCGTTGTTGGACAGAGGCTCATTCGCCGTTTCGCAGATCATTTTCAATAGGCAACCCTCCCCAGAGTAACCCGCGCTGTTTCAATTAGTGTATTGCTTTAAATTCACTCTGCCGCGATTTCCATCGATTCGCTCGACTCAATCCAATTCGATTCGATTTCCCGTTTACCTTTCTAATTTGTTCGCGAGGACCCGGTACGCCAATTGTCGGTCCAGGCTGCGTTTCCATAAATATGGCCCGTCCCCATAATAACTGGAATTCCATTCGCCGGGCAGACCGTAGTTTGCCTCGAAGTAAAACGAAAATATTATCGATTTATTTGGGATATCGACGGGTACACCGAGGGCGAAGAATATCTAAAAGCACAATAGAAAATCATTTTTAAATAACGAGCTCTTTCAGCCCCGATAAAACGCATTTCACAAGGTGATCGCTATCGATTTACTTGAAAAAGAACGTACGGAACATTTTTAACAGTGCGAAAATTGATTTTACACCGGCGCCGGTGTGGAACAGTATGTTATGTAACAGTAACTTTGATAGCGTTTATTTTCAACGATTATGACAAGTCACAGGTAAAGGGGAAAATACAAAAGACAAAAGTGTATTTCAATTAAAGTCTAATTCAGGAATAAATGTTTGGAGTTTTGGTTATTTTTGTAAGTTCATTAATATGTTAACTGTCGTAATATGTACTCAGCAAAATTCTGACCCCTGGGGCCTAATACTTTTTTTTTATTACTTTTACTATTATTTTTACTATTTTTTTTTCTTTAATACCAGAAAATTTGGTATAATTCCTGTCGATACAAGATAAAGTGAAAAAAAGAACTTATAAACAATAATATTTTTTTGTACGAAGGCAGTATTTATCTCACGTGGTCCCTCTGAAAAAAATCATTGCACTTGGGCCGAGTGAGACGTATTTGTCTTACACGGCAGTCAACGTGCTAATAGGAGGAGCTACTTTTTTAATTCGTAATCTATTAATCTGGTACATCAAACGTCTCTGGCCATTTCTAAAATCGCTTTGAACACGAACTTCGTGCAACTGAATATTTTCCACGGCTACCCTCATAGCCTATTCAGAATAATTCCTAAAGGAGTCCTCGATAGCATGCGTCTCTAGATCAGTAATTTTAATACTATTACGTAGCTATTTAACAAATTTGAACTTCATCAAATTGAGTCGATCGTAGTCATAGTTGATTATGTGGTCAATCTACTAATACAACTACACCTTTGAAATCCAGAGTCCTGTTCTTTACTTCTAACTATACGCGAAATCGATATACTGTAATTAGTAAATAAATTGTAATAATTTATGTAAGTAATGGACAATAGATATGAACTTTTAGAAATAATAAGAATGAGAAATTTCAATACTTGATCGAAACTACTGTCTACTATGTTTTCCGAGATTCGGATAACAAAAATATTAGATCTATTAAATATAGAATTATAACAAAATTTAAGTAATTAAAGATTCACTGACAAAAAGTTAAAAGCTTAGGAAATTCTTACTGTGAATTACAGATTCTAAATAAAAGATTTTAATAATAAAGATTACAGATTTTAAATCAAACTGTTTTAGGTTAGCAAATGGTACAGAATATCTACCATGCTATCATGTCTTTTCCGGAAGATTGTTACTTTTTAAAACCTTATTATCACGTTTTCTTGAAAAATGGTCAACCACCGATGAGAAGTCAGTTCCATCAAATCTACCGAACTTTAGAAGTAAGTATGAAGAGATTGCATTTATTTAGACGACCTTCCGCCAATTATTTTCCATGAAAGTGTCTTTATAATTTCAACAACTTTGAAACAAAAAACGTGAAACCGATCATTTCGATCGACTCGGTAAGTTCAGCGTACATTGGACAAAAATTGCAAGAATATGCTAATACCGACAGTGAGTATTTCCGCTGTTTACTGTGCAAATGAAAGCATGATCGCTTATCGCGGCAATTAAAGCCAAAAGAATAAACTGGTCTCCTGCGATTTTAGGGGCGACACCCGTCGCATCGGCGGATTCCGTTTTAGCGTTAAGGAGTCTATATTCCTGGACAGGTGGAACTGTGAGCCACGATACTGATATCAGTTAATGGCTGCAGGAAGCTGTCGTCCGTTGGAAAATTAATGATTTATTCGATGCCTTACCCCCATCGCGCTGCCTTCGGGGAATCCGATCGATCTCAGGTGTCTTGATACGCCGCGCGTGATATTTTTTATCCCCGAAGCGGTCGACAGCAAGCTAAGATAACATACTATGACATGGCCGAGCATCTGAAACGAACGTAAAATAAATGATCGCGATCGGACTTTCATTTGTTTCCCTCCACTCGAGCCGGCATGGTTATTAACTCCGGCCTCGCGAATTCGCGGGATTTTATTTAATTATACAATCATCCATTCTCGAGAGGATCCCATATTGCTCGCGGAATTGCACGGTGACCGTGGCTGAGAGCGAAGCTACTCCGGCGTCGGAGCACTCTCGCGAATGATGGAGCACCTGTCGTCAAATTTTCTTTCGGCACGGGGGCTGCTCATAAATTTCCCTTGTAATTTCCCTATCGCATGGGAACTACCGCTTCGGCCTGGCCGGTCCGTGTTTTCGTCGGACGGTCGGGTCGTTCGACAGGCTGTTTGAAAATCAAAAGTTTTACAGGAACCGTTTCGATCCGCGGACGACCCTGATCCTCCATACCTGCTTCGAACTTTTACGATTTGCGTGTAAGTATTTCTTATTTTACGAGGATGCACGCGTTCGGTTCGCCGTAAGAACACCGTAAGAACACCGTGGGAACACCGTAAGCACGCCGTAAGAACGCCGTAAAATCGGTTTACGTCCGAGCATCCGGGGGATTAATTTTTCTAATTTCTCTTCTCCCGTGCGCCAGTACTAACTGGTCTTTTTGATCACTGGCCCACCGGTTTTATGCATTCGGAATGTAGAGCGCTTCGCCACGGTTCGTTGCACCACCCCGATCTAATAAACTTTAACGAGCACGCTGATACGAACAACTTTAACGGACCCCGCGTCTGTAAACATCCTCGGCCCATTAATTATTGTTAAGTCGGTGCGCGCGCCAGTTTCTCTCTTCGGACAGAAAGTTCGATGGAACGGATGATAGCGCCACTAAAATTTGATTTGCCGTCGAAAAGACCGCGTTAGCATCCGTTCGATACGATTCCGCGTCCGGAGATCCCCGACTAACGGGGACGTCGGGCGAGATTGAAACGAGAGTGCCGCGGCGCGAAGTGTAAATGATAATGAAAAGACGCTGTTTACCGTAACGCGGCGCACCATCCGAACAAGTTTTAAACGCTTCTACTTAATTCGCCGCGATGCAGTCGCGAGGCGGTTTCGGACGCGGGAAGCGACTTAACGATTTATAAACTCGCGGCGCCGCGAAAGAAACGGCAACCGCCGGGGGAGCGGCTCGCGGCGCGCTAATTGTTGTCTAACGTTAACGAGCTATAATTGCGCCGGTCTCGCACCTGTGCGCGAGAATCGGGATGCTCGTCTGGCATAATCAACTGCACAACGCATCCGGTTCCCACGCAGACTCCATTTCCTCGTAGTTGACAGCGTCTCGCGAACTATGCAGTTGCCACTTAGGGGGTTGCGTTCGTCGTCCGCGGGCCATTTAAAACAGTTGAAACGCGGAGTCACGCGCGGCTCAGTATGCATTAGACCAGGATTGCATTAATCATCGGATCGCAATGCGGCTGTTTCCGCGTTGTTTAGCGCATTCCGGATTCAATGGCGAAACTTGTAATTATTCTCGGGCACTTTGCGCGTTCGTCTCGCCGCCGCTCTAACCCTGCCGGTCGAATAATAACGGGCGGAACCCTCTGTTTGCCTGGTAGCCGTGGGGCTTAGATATCTGGGACGAAGTTGTACGTGGCGGAGCCGCGCACACTGCGCGAAATACATCATTGATTAGCGCCGGCACGAATATACCTACCGGTCGCGGAACTCGGCGTGCCGCAACTCGGCTCTATCCAAGGGTTCAACTCGCGTTCCGCGGACGCTGGGGGTGAAAATTAACGACGTTTGCGAACCCGTCGCGTCGTGTCGCGTCGCGTCGCGCCGTGTCGTGTCCTATCGTATCGTGTCGTGTCGTTCTCTGTTCCGTTTCTTTCAATTTTGAGCCGGTTGCTAGAACGCCGGTGTTATGGGCGTTAACGGAGGAGTTAATGGAACGGTAAGAGGGCGGAGAGACACACCGGGAGTACACGATGAAAGAGCACACGCTGGAATCCCGCAGGGGAGGAACGGGAATCCGCAGAATTTCGGTTCGGAAGGTTGGAACGCGAAACGATTGCGGACTCTCTCTCCGCGCTGCACAGGCTGCACAGGCTGCACGGGCTGCAGTTTCCAGGATTGTTCGACCAACGGTTCGCAGATGGCGGCTGATGGTTGGTATCTAGGATCTCCAGCCCCGCCCATCCAATTTAAACGGAGACCTTCTCGCCTGCGTCGCCCGACCTGCTGGTCAAAATTTTCGAAGATTAACGCTAGATTTACGGACATTTATTGTACACACTTGTTTCTGTCGGCAGCCGCCAAATTGATAGGGAAAGGAAAACGCGAATTTCGTTTCAAAGTAACTTGGTTGTACAAGGTTGTCAGTAGGTTGCGGATTTTATGCATTTATGGCAAAATGGGGTGGTTAGAATTGAAAATAGCGTAAAGATTAAAAGCAATTTCAAACGGCAATGTATTATTTTTCATCTATTAAAATGATTTTAAAAAGGAAGAATGAATTAGTTACTTGGTTTTCATTCCTTGGAATTTGTACCGACAGTTTTTATTTTGCGTACGAATCTGCGGACTAGTTATCAGACATATGATTTACTTATACAACATTTTAACAGATATAACCCATATTCGTCCCTCGTATCAATTTGACACAGTTTTCACGGATGCTAAAGAAACAATCCGTTTTATAGATCGTTTTAGTAGTTTTGAACAACGCAAAAATCTACGTTAAAACTTGTCGTACCTCATCTTAGATTCTCATTCTCACAGAAGGAATTTACAAAATTAATTATTTCATGTTCCATCTTATTCATTTTTTACCGATGTGGCAATCTGATATCAAAGCAAGGGCTGTGCTGTTGAAATGAGGGACGGGTGTCGATTAATTTATCCTTTGCCCTCGAAGCTATTTTGACTCCAAATCCAAAACAGCTTCTCTGGCTTACAGTATTTTCAATTGACACGACTTTATGCGTGCATTTTTTATGCATGTGAAATTGGAACTTGATTCGTACAACAGTTTTTTAAACATAAACAAATTCGATGGTGTAACAATTATTTTGGAACTTTAATGGTGCTTCGGAGACACCACTCGAATGCAAAGGGTTAACTTATACAAAGTCGTCCTTTATATTTGGGTCTATCGCTTTCCGTGCTGACTTGAAGCTTGTACTATAATACAAACACTTCCGAGATTCTGTGTGCGTATAACTTGCTCCGACGTATTAATATTAAATTCGTCACAATTCGTCACATTCAACGAAATAAATCTCCGCGTATTATAATTTTTTTTTAGTTTTTACTTTCTGATTACGTTTACATTTGTTATTGTAGAAATGATTTCAAGGATAGTTTGTCGGTTTATTATGATTAGTAGACTGCGGATTTCTATGCAAATTAAGAATTGTCTTCATTGATTACAAGATGCACGAACTACGCGAACATATACAATATATTTTCTTAATTATTTTAATGGATTCAAAACATTGCAATAGTATCTTAAAGTTTTTGTAATATTTTTACTATTTTGCATTTCATTAATTCNACATTTGTTATTGTAGAAATGATTTCAAGGATAGTTTGTCGGTTTATTATGATTAGTAGACTGCGGATTTCTATGCAAATTAAGAATTGTCTTCATTGATTACAAGATGCACGAACTACGCGAACATATACAATATATTTTCTTAATTATTTTAATGGATTCAAAACATTGCAATAGTATCTTAAAGTTTTTGTAATATTTTTACTATTTTGCATTTCATTAATTCNATAAATGTTATGTTCAGTAAACGTTAATCGACGTAAAATTGTACAAAAATTGGTCCAAATTAAATTATAATTACTAGGGTGTCTAGAATGCAAAAACAATTTCAAATTTCATTCACTATGATAAATTTTCGCTTTCTAGTTTCGGTTTCGTTAACTAACTTATTTTGATTTTTTGGGAAATTCTGATCGATTTTCGGCACTTAACCTATTAACCACTTCCCTTACGCCGCATATCGTGGTCGAGATATGCTTGCAAGGTAAGAGAAACGTGTGTGTTTAGGTTTCAGGTGAAACGCCTTGCGGCGTTATTCCACCCCTCTTCAATGCGGCGGCGGTTCTTATGACAAATCGTTCTTACGCAGTGGATAGGAGAACTTTATGACTGCTCGATGTAGTTAATTTTTGGTAGCGTTGCTCGGAGGTGGTAGAAAATGGTTCAGACGCGGTGGTATGTACAGAGTGTTTCAGTAATGGCGGCGCAAATGGAAAGGGGTGGCTCCTTAGGGAAAATACGAGGTTTCTGTTCCAGGAAAGTCTACCCTGCGAATTTGTATTACGTGTTTGCCGAGTCTTCTTCCGTGCAGACGGTACAGCGGCTGCTCGATAAATGAGATACTCGAGGCGGTATTCGCACTTATCGAGCGGCCAATCACAATCGCGCGCGCGCGCGCGCGAGTTTAAATAATGCGTGCAGCTTTGCGGCGTTCTAAGTTTTCATTTAAGGCTGGGGCTCGCGACGCACTATTACGATCCACACATGGAAGAAAACCATATATGTACCGTGGCCCACAAAAGTGTTCGTAAACCTTTTAAAACGCAATAACTTTTTCAAAACTGAACTAAATGATTTGAATTTTTTCAGACGATAAAGAGGCTAGTCTACTAGACGATGGCTAAAGAGATTTTTTTTTAAATTTTGCTCTTGGAATGAAAAGAAAAAATTAAAATCCCTCGTTTTTTAATTTGTTTATGCGAGCCTGTAACGAATATTTAAAAAATGCCTTTTGTAGATCTCGAAGTTTAAGGATTTTAAAAACTGCAAAGTTCTCGCAGGTTTTGGTCAAAACCGTGATAAAACTGCGACTTTTGCGATCTTTAATTTGTTGACGACAAGAGACAGAATTTTATTTCGAGTTGAAAGAACAGAATAATATTCATACTTGACAGGTTCTTCCTAGAAATCTGTATCACATGCCAGGTTCGTCAAAGTATGGCAAGGGGTTAAAAGGCTCCCACTTATCCAGCGACCACTGTGCGANTAATTTATGACAGAAGTGTGAGTGAATTAATATAGTATATATAGTTTGATTGAAGTTATTGACCTTTGCGTATTTGACCCTTATACAATCCAAATGTCCATAATACTTAATGCTTAGCTGTTTTAAATATTTAATATAAATGTTATGTTCAGTAAACGTTAATCGACGTAAAATTGTACAAAAATTGGTCCAAATTAAATTATAATTACTAGGGTGTCTAGAATGCAAAAACAATTTCAAATTTCATTCACTATGATAAATTTTCGCTTTCTAGTTTCGGTTTCGTTAACTAACTTATTTTGATTTTTTGGGAAATTCTGATCGATTTTCGGCACTTAACCTATTAACCACTTCCCTTACGCCGCATATCGTGGTCGAGATATGCTTGCAAGGTAAGAGAAACGTGTGTGTTTAGGTTTCAGGTGAAACGCCTTGCGGCGTTATTCCACCCCTCTTCAATGCGGCGGCGGTTCTTATGACAAATCGTTCTTACGCAGTGGATAGGAGAACTTTATGACTGCTCGATGTAGTTAATTTTTGGTAGCGTTGCTCGGAGGTGGTAGAAAATGGTTCAGACGCGGTGGTATGTACAGAGTGTTTCAGTAATGGCGGCGCAAATGGAAAGGGGTGGCTCCTTAGGGAAAATACGAGGTTTCTGTTCCAGGAAAGTCTACCCTGCGAATTTGTATTACGTGTTTGCCGAGTCTTCTTCCGTGCAGACGGTACAGCGGCTGCTCGATAAATGAGATACTCGAGGCGGTATTCGCACTTATCGAGCGGCCAATCACAATCGCGCGCGCGCGCGCGCGAGTTTAAATAATGCGTGCAGCTTTGCGGCGTTCTAAGTTTTCATTTAAGGCTGGGGCTCGCGACGCACTATTACGATCCACACATGGAAGAAAACCATATATGTACCGTGGCCCACAAAAGTGTTCGTAAACCTTTTAAAACGCAATAACTTTTTCAAAACTGAACTAAATGATTTGAATTTTTTCAGACGATAAAGAGGCTAGTCTACTAGACGATGGCTAAAGAGATTTTTTTTTAAATTTTGCTCTTGGAATGAAAAGAAAAAATTAAAATCCCTCGTTTTTTAATTTGTTTATGCGAGCCTGTAACGAATATTTAAAAAATGCCTTTTGTAGATCTCGAAGTTTAAGGATTTTAAAAACTGCAAAGTTCTCGCAGGTTTTGGTCAAAACCGTGATAAAACTGCGACTTTTGCGATCTTTAATTTGTTGACGACAAGAGACAGAATTTTATTTCGAGTTGAAAGAACAGAATAATATTCATACTTGACAGGTTCTTCCTAGAAATCTGTATCACATGCCAGGTTCGTCAAAGTATGGCAAGGGGTTAAAAGGCTCCCACTTATCCAGCGACCACTGTGCGACCTTGTGGCTCGTTTTTATAGTTACCGATTGTCAACAAATACAAAAGCGAGCCGCAATGCTCGAATAATCGTACCTCCCCTTCCCAAATTGTCCACTTTTGTGCGCAATCGAAACGTCAATTAGGGAGAATTCACTGTATTTCGTGACTTGAATCAACAGAAATTTAAGAACCTACCACTTTATCGTCTTCACTACCATAGTCAATGCAATACGTTTCTAGTAGTCCAATATTCGTGGAAATCATAAAAATTAAATGTAAAATATCTTCGTAAATAATGAGTATTGATGCCACTTATAAGTGTTCATTCACTTGACAAGTCGACCTAGTAGAATAATTTATTTAATCGTTAATTTTACTATTTAAGTTCGCATTAAATGAGAACGGTCGACAAAAATTATTCAATGTGTAGAGATTAGGGAGAATTTACTGCAATATGATTTTTCGATTTCCTTTAGTTAGAATCACAGTCAATACTCCCTAATTGACGCTCAGCTTGCACACAAAAATGGACAATTTGGGAAGAGGAGACACGATTATTCGAGCCTTGCGGCTCGTTTTTATAGTTAGCAATTGTTAACAACTACAAAAAGGAGCCGCAAGGGTTGAATAATCGTATCTCTTCCGAAATTGTTCTTTTTTGTGCGCATGTAAGCGACAATTAGGGAAAATTTACTGTATTTTGTGATTTGAATCAACAGAGATTTAAGAACCTGTCACTTTATCGTCTTCACTACCATACTCAATGCAATACGTTTCTAGTAGGCCAATATTCGTGGAAATCATAAAAATTAAATGTAAAATATCTTCGTAAATAATGAGTATTGATGCCACTTAAGTGTTCATTCACTTGACAAGTCGACCTAGTAGAATAATTTATTTAATCGTTAATTTTACTATTTAAGTTCGCATTAAATGAGAACGGTCGACAAAAATTATTCAATGTGAAGAGATTAGGGAGAATTTACTGCAATACGATTTTTCGATTTCCTTTAGTTAGAATCACAGTAAATCCTCCCTAATTGACGCTGAGTTTGTACACAAAAGTGGACAATTTGGGAAGAGGGAGTACGATTATTCCAGTCTTGTATCTCGTTTTTATAGTTGTTGACAATCGGTAATTATAAAAACGAGCCGCAAGACTCGAATAATCGTATCTTCCCTTCTAAAATTCTCCATTTTTATTGTACACGGTTTCCCAGAAAGAATCATCCGATTTCAAAAATTCATATTTTAAAAAATTACACACAAAATTATAATTCAAACACGAATATAACGGGAAAATGTGCGAGTTTTACTTTTTACCCCATTGGCACTTGGAGTTTCGGAATTTTCTTAACACAGAACTACCAAATCGTCAGATTGGTCGCAGTTCATCCGATAATATGGTTCTACACAGTTGGCCTCCGAGATCACCCGACCTAACCCCATGCGACTTCTTCCTTTGGGGATTTGTGAAGGATCTTGTCTTTGTACCACATTTACCTACAAGTGTAAATGAACTGAAAAAACGCATTTGTGATGCTGTACAAACAATTACCAGAGATACATTGCACCGTGTTTGGCAAGAACTTTCTTATCGCAATGATATCATACGTGTAACGAAAGGAAGTCATATTGAACACTTGTAAACAAAAACTCACACATTTTCCCGTTATATTCGTGTTTGAATTATAATTTTCTGTGTGTAATTTTTTAAAATATAAATTTTTGAAATCGGATGATTCTTTCCGGGGAACCCTGTACTTCAAACCTTCAATGTGAATACAGTGAATACAGTAAATTCTCTCCAATTGTTCTTCAGCTTGCAAACAAAAATGGACAATTTGGGAAGAGAAGATACCATTATTCAAACTTTGTGGCTCGTTTTTATGGTCCGCGATTGTCAAAAACTATGAAAACAAGCCGCAAGGCTCGAATAATCGTATCTCCTCTTTCCGAATTAGGGAGAAATTACTGTATTTGGTGTTCATTGCTACGGGATATCTCAACACTAGTGAGACAACCTAAAAAAATATGCACACACACTTTTCATTTTATAATTATCGAAATCATAGAGCTGCTTTTACCGGAAATTGTTGAACACATTTCTTTATTCGGCCACGCACTGTTACAAAAATTGTGAAATATTAAAATAAGTTCAATCTTATAATTTTTGTAAGGCGACACAGTGTACCAGTCACATTTAGACCTTGGTACGTTTAGCGTCGAAGCCATTGCCGTGACGAAGCAAGCAGACGTGAATTTTAACGTAGCAGCTGTATTATTTTCAGATCTGCTACGTTTTGTAAACACGAATGGACGCGAAGTACATTCCAACATCGATTTATTGGAAAACTAAGCTTCGTTCAACAAAAATAAAACTCTGCTTTTTCAAGTTATTTTTTCGTACAAATTCGCCGATTTCCAGGTAGTATTACCAGAATATCAAAACACGTATCCATGCGGCTAAAGAATATTCAAAATTATTTAGTTCTCGTTCACATTTCACCGCGAATAATGACTGTGGTCGGGCGGCAATTTGCTGGGACACCATGTACACGCAGGTACGGCGCGGCTATAGAAATTACGAGCACAAGTAATAGACCGTCGTAATTACTAATCGTCGCGATTACCTTTCGCTAATAAACGTGTATTTTATCATTTACGCGAACGCTTAGAGCGTTTCCGACGTTGCTGATTAAATAACGCGACGAGTTTCGGTTGACTGGCAAACAACGGGATTGTAAGGTGTGCCCCAGTGTACACATAGAACATGTATCTCTACGGGAATGTCGGGTTAGGATCTGCGGAAACGGATACGATCCTTTTGTTTGCCGTAGCGATTCCACGGATGGAAGACAGGCAGGCGACGGCGAACAGCTGTAACACGGATACAGCTAATGATAACTTAAGAATTAAATTACGTCGCGCGCATTACGGAGATGCAGCATGAAGACGCCTTCGACAAATGGACAGGACGAATTCAGTTAAGGTACTCGCTGCGTATTGCTCTCTCGCAATGAAAGTAGACGGTAGCAGAAGTTCAGAGGAAATTATTATTCCGTTCTCATCACGGTGTTGGATATTTTCGTAATAAATTTCGATTCTACACGAAATGAAAAGGTACGGCGGGTCGAGAGAGATGCGAGTTTTTCTCATTGAATTACCATTTTATTTGCTCCACGTAATTATTATTCTTTCTTGCAATTTGTGAACGGATTTCGTCGTGTTTCGCTTCAATCTAGCACACTTTCATCTAGAATGTTTTACGATCCGGTATATAGGACCAAATACTGAATCAACAGAAACGTATTGCAATGGTTACGTTAGCAATAAGGATAAACTGGTACTGTTTATTCGTTTTTCTCTTAATTAATTTTTTCATTTTCAACTTCGTAATACATCTTAACTTTATTCTTTTCTCGCGTATGTACTCTTCTTTCAAATATTTTTTCTGCATTTACTATAATTTTATTGCAATGCAATCATAAAAATTTCGTGGAAATCATAAAAATTAAATGCAAAATATCTTCATGAATAATGATGACTACTAGTGTTCATTCACTTAACAGGTCGTCCTAGTGCAATGATTTATTTCATCGTTTATTTTACTATTTACGCTCGCATTAAATAAGAATGATCGGCAAAAGATAGGACGGAGAGTGAAAATTTATACCATTTTACAGTTTTCCATCGTTCTGAGCTTAGAACGCAGTACATGGTTCACCTTCGATTCCGGAACACATCGATTTTCCCGCCGAGAATTGCAAATTTCGAACAACAATACCGTACTCGATTCCCGTTGGAAAGAATTTGTCGATAGAGGCCAGGCTCCTTCGCGAGAACAGAAACTACATTTTAAACACTTCACAGCCTCGGAACAGGATGGTGAAAAACACTGCACTGTTTCGCTTACGCGTTCGAAACGCGAATCACATTCCGTGCTTTCATCTGCTTCACGAAGAACGAAACAGCCGCGCCCGCGGCGTACCGTTTTCCCTCGTTTTGCAAAAGGAAGCAATTAAGGGTATTAGTTTGAATTTGATCTTAAAGGGGTTGTTCGTCACTCTCTACATCCGTGCGAGTAGTCACTAGAATTAATTAACACGTTGATTGCCGTGGGGGTTATCGGTGACTGGCACCGAGTTTGTTCATAGCGGAGATTACTAACTATACATAACTCGTGTGTGATGCCTTAAAACTTTCCAATATTATTATCGTTACTAAAATGATGTGGAAACCTCCGCTAAGATAAATGCCTCACAAACGATTGCCTCGCGCTTTAACTTCTCTGTTGTAAATAATATTTCACTATAATATGTAACGCATAATAAGAAATTCGTGCTGGGGTCAGACGTGCCATGGTTGTGTAAAATTCGTGTGGCATTCAATGTGCGAATAAGATTTTAGACCGATGGGTGGTTTAAGTATAATTCTTTGTTTCTTATCAAGAGACTGTTTTTTTTACTTCATTTTTTATTTAAACTCCTATAAAAATCTACTATGATTTGAAGTTTCTATTTAAATTTCCACAAAAATCTACTGTAATTTAAAGTTTCTATTTAAATATCTACAAAAATCTACTGTAATTTGAAGTTTCTATTTAAATTTCCACAAAAATCTACTGTAATTTAAAGTTTCTATTTAAATTCTTACAAAAATCCACTACACAATTTAAAGTTTCTATTTAAATTCCTATAAAAATCTACTGTAATTTAAAGTTTCTATTTAAATTCTTACAAAATCTACTGCAATTTAAAGTTTCTATTTAAATTTCCACAAAAATCTACTGTAATTTAAAGTTTCTATTTAAATTCCTATAAAAATCTATAATTTATTGTTTCTTTTTAAATTCCTACAAAAATCTACTGCAATTTAAAGTTTCTATTTAAATATCTACAAAAATCTACTGTAATTTAAAGTTTCTATTTAAATTCCTATAAAAATCTATAATTTATTGTTTCTTTTTAAATTCCTACAAAAATCTACTGCAATTTAAAGTTTCTATTTAAATATCTACAAAAATCTACTGTAATTTAAAGTTTCTATTTAAATTCCTATAAAAATCTATAATTTATTGTTTCTTTTTAAATTCCTACAAAAATCTACTGCAATTTAAAGTTTCTATTTAAATATCTACAAAAATCTACTGTAATTTAAAGTTTCTATTTAAATTCCTATAAAAATCTATAATTTATTGTTTCTTTTTAAATTCCTACAAAAATCTACTGCAATTTAAAGTTTCTATTTAAATATCTACAAAAATCTACTGTAATTTAAAGTTTCTATTTAAATTCCTATAAAAATCTATAATTTATTGTTTCTTTTTAAATTCCTACAAAAATCTACTGCAATTTAAAGTTTCTATTTAAATATCTACAAAAATCTACTGTAATTTAAAGTTTCTATTTAAATTCCTATAAAAATCTATAATTTATTGTTTCTTTTTAAATTCCTACAAAAATCTACTGCAATTTAAAGTTTCTATTTAAATATCTACAAAAATCTACTGTAATTTAAAGTTTCTATTTAAATTCCTATAAAAATCTATAATTTATTGTTTCTTTTTAAATTCCTACAAAAATCTACTGCAATTTAAAGTTTCTATTTAAATATCTACAAAAATCTACTGTAATTTAAAGTTTCTATTTAAATTCCTATAAAAATCTATAATTTATTGTTTCTTTTTAAATTCCTACAAAAATCTACTGCAATTTAAAGTTTCTATTTAAATATCTACAAAAATCTACTGTAATTTAAAGTTTCTATTTAAATTCCTATAAAAATCTATAATTTATTGTTTCTTTTTAAATTCCTACAAAAATCTACTGCAATTTAAAGTTTCTATTTAAATATCTACAAAAATCTACTGTAATTTAAAGTTTCTATTTAAATTCCTATAAAAATCTATAATTTATTGTTTCTTTTTAAATTCCTACAAAAATCTACTGCAATTTAAAGTTTCTATTTAAATATCTACAAAAATCTACTGTAATTTAAAGTTTCTATTTAAATTCCTATAAAAATCTATAATTTATTGTTTCTTTTTAAATTCCTACAAAAATCTACTGCAATTTAAAGTTTCTATTTAAATATCTACAAAAATCTACTGTAATTTAAAGTTTCTATTTAAATTCCTATAAAAATCTATAATTTATTGTTTCTTTTTAAATTCCTACAAAAATCTACTGCAATTTAAAGTTTCTATTTAAATATCTACAAAAATCTACTGTAATTTAAAGTTTCTATTTAAATTCCTATAAAAATCTATAATTTATTGTTTCTTTTTAAATTCCTACAAAAATCTACTGCAATTTAAAGTTTCTATTTAAATATCTACAAAAATCTACTGTAATTTAAAGTTTCTATTTAAATTCCTATAAAAATCTATAATTTATTGTTTCTTTTTAAATTCCTACAAAAATCTACTGCAATTTAAAGTTTCTATTTAAATATCTACAAAAATCTACTGTAATTTAAAGTTTCTATTTAAATTCCTATAAAAATCTATAATTTATTGTTTCTTTTTAAATTCCTACAAAAATCTACTGCAATTTAAAGTTTCTATTTAAATATCTACAAAAATCTACTGTAATTTAAAGTTTCTATTTAAATTCCTATAAAAATCTATAATTTATTGTTTCTTTTTAAATTCCTACAAAAATCTACTGCAATTTAAAGTTTCTATTTAAATATCTACAAAAATCTACTGTAATTTAAAGTTTCTATTTAAATTCCTATAAAAATCTATAATTTATTGTTTCTTTTTAAATTCCTACAAAAATCTACTGCAATTTAAAGTTTCTATTTAAATATCTACAAAAATCTACTGTAATTTAAAGTTTCTATTTAAATTCCTATAAAAATCTATAATTTATTGTTTCTTTTTAAATTCCTACAAAAATCTACTGCAATTTAAAGTTTCTATTTAAATATCTACAAAAATCTACTGTAATTTGAAGTTTCTATTTAAATTCTTATACAAAAATCTGCTACAATTTAAAGTTTCTACTTGAATTCCTATAAAAATTTACTATAATTTAAATTTTTATATATATATATATATTCAAATTCCTATAAAAATCTATTATAATTTTCCTATTAAATTGAGAAACGAACTATTCGAAGAGAGTACTCTCTCTACCTGTAAATAACAGAACTCTTTCCCGCACTCGGCTACAAATTCTTGGAAACTACATACCATATTCAGCTATACGTTTTGCTGGGTTATCGCCCAATGTGAAAGTCTTAAGGTGTAAGTAAACGTTCGGTTTTCGGAACGCTTGCCTGTTTTCGTATATGTATATGCGTTTCTGCTGTGTAGCGACACTCTATTGGTTTCCCACACCCTTAAAAGGCGCACGCGGAACGATCGAATATGGAAATAGTAAGATTGTGCACTCTGTCCACATCGTACCAGTTCCGTAGTTCCGTTCCGCTTTGTTTTGATTACACTGTCCGACACAATTTTTGGGTTCCTATAGCCACTATGAAATTCTTGTAGAGCTTCACTCTCTGAACAAGAATTCGAAAACCGAATTGCTCCATCACCCTCAGTTTTTTAAATAAACGAACTTTTGTAAAGTACAAACGCTAGAAAGTTCTGATCAGTCTTAAAAGATAGAGGAGAGTTTCCCGAATATAGTGGCATGCAATTTATTAATTGTTTTTGGTCCTAAATAGCAATAAATTAATGTGAAAGTTTAAAAAAGTGTCGACGCGAGCAGTTTCTGCGCAATATTTTTGTATTTTTACGAAAAGATTTTTGTTCGGCACGAAAACTCTACCCAGGATCGGATTCTGTAGACATTTCTGAAGAAGAAACGGCCCGGTAAAAGTGTCGGAACGATATACATTTCGAGTAGATCGAGAAAATGTTCGACGGCAACATGTACACGACGTTTTGCCGCCATGAGCTTCTCTGCTCGCTTCTCTCTGTCCGACAGGGCCGAAGCTACGCGTAATCAACGCCGATGGAGGGATCCAATGGGGCACCCACTTTTCGTAAATAATATTTGAATCTTTTTAGTACTTCAATGTTCTGTTTTTTTTTACATATTTCTGTGGATAATAATCACCAAACTGTGATATATTTCACACAAAAAATCACTCTAGAGTATTTGGAGTTGGTAACGAAAGCATTCTAACACTACTATAATTTTGACTTCTACGCCATATAATTAAATAAATATTTAAATATATATTTAACAATATGTTTCAAAAAGTTTAACGTTT